CCCCATTTCATTGTCAACCAATTTTTCAACATATTTGAAATTATTTCAATTTATCCAAATGGAACACTTACCAATGTAGACAGTGATTACATGAATATGATGTGCATATATACTATTTTTTTCTACTTCATAAAGTTTTAGGTAGTATCTTTTTAATGGAAAAGTATAATTTTCCCACAAGGATCTAAACCTTTCATATGTATTTGTCGTGGCTGAATTATTGTTGATTATGAGAGTTAGTAAACCTTTAAAGGTCATCTGTTTGTTATAATGGATGGCAGGGAAGAGTGAAGATTTTTTTAGCTCTTTAATACATTAATCCTATTAGTCATAAACAATTGGACACTGCTTAAACATTTGTATGTCACTTGTAAATTTCATTGCTTCATCTTTATGAAAACCTAATGATTATAGATAAGGCTTAAGACGATTAATGCTATTCATAATAGGTGACTTTGGAGGTTCCCCTTTTGAAGGAGTTCAAGCTATGGGAGGTAGTGCATACCGTGGGCAAGGTTAGTTCCTTTTATTAGTTTTGTTTTAACTATAGCAAATAACATTAAATACTAGTTTAAGAACTCATAACTGCTGTTAATGGTTTTTTGTTTTTTTATAATATAGGTAATGTTTTCTGTAAACCTTAGGTTACATTAGTAGAAAACATTTATAAGCTATTCTTGAGTATTGCATTTTGTTATTTTTTAGGATTTGGAGGTAATTTCCCAAATCAAGGAATGAGAGGATTTGGTGGTGGTGGTGGCAGCTTTGGTCAAGGTGAGATTTTAATTTTTATAATTAATTATGTTAGTAGCTTTCTATTCATTCAAATAATCTTAAATGGAAATCTCAACTCCTTAGTTCTAAGTTAGAATTGTGTGTGTTGTTCTGAAAGATCAGGCAGACTATCTGTTTAGAACTGTATATTGGAATTATTTATCTGGGATCATCCAACTAAAGAGAATTATTCTGTTCACATCATGTAAACATATTTATTAGTTTTCTTAGGACATTTTCACAACCTCTGCTAACAAATATACCACTGTGTAAGAAGGAACTTTTCTAAAGGCAAAATACGGGCATACTCACTCACTCACATAATTAACCCTTTTGCAAAGGGCTCTATATAAAATAGTCTGTATGCACACTTGTAATCATTAAGTATTTATACTATAACTTTTATTGCAGTATGTGTATCTTTACAAAAATTGGTAGAATTTTGGAATACATTAAAAGTCTTTTGTAGATAAATATTAGATTTTTTTTAATGAAGTATTTTACTAAAAATTTGTTTATGAATATATTGAGTGTTTCATTACTAGACTGAGTGCAAAGTGATTTTTATGTTAGTATTAAAAATACTATTCTTCAACCCTAAAAATCTCTAATTTCATTTGTGTAATGTCTAAAACCTAAATACATTTCAAATATTTGTTTTCAGTAAAACTGTATATTTTATCTGTTATTTTCTCTACACTAACTCTGTACATGTTGGACAATTTGATCAACCTTGTAACCACAAAATAAAGAAAAATAACTAAATTACTCGTTTTTTTTTATAAGAATGACTTCAAATGGTAACATGAAACTACATTTGTTTATTCTAAGTGGCTTTAAACTCGTAACAGTATACAATTATTTATACTTAAATGTTATTGTTTTATTGCCCTTTAAAGGTGTCTAACTTTTGTTTGTGCCAGTATAAGTTGTAAATCACTTGTGCAATGTGGGGCTCATGTTACACTATCAAATTACATTACTCAAGAGCTGCTTGTACATGTGCCTTGTAGAGATTTTTTTTATTATACTATTATTATTGTTTATTTTACCTAATCTAACATTTAAAGAGACTCATAATTTTACATTTTAGTCACTTTTATAATAACAAAAATAAAGAATATACATGAAAAACAAGAAATAAAGTGCTTACCTGAACTTTTCTTTCTGTTGAATGTTGATGACACTAACCCTGTTTGTTTATATTAATGGTGGTAGTAGTTCACTAAATAATATTACTTCAATTAAATAATGCACTAAAGAACATAAAATAATAACATTCAAACAGCAGACAATGTCCCATAACTATCACAATTTTTCTGGCTTTCTAACTACGCATCAAGTTACTAAGTACTAAAAGAGAAATTAACAATTCTCTGTTCAGAAAACAGTGCAATATAATGTCATATTGATAGATGAAAATCTTGGCTTTCTATTGTTTATAAATAATATAATATTAAACATAAGAGAACTATTAATAAATCCTGAAAGAGAGGATGTAACAGTTAAGTGTAGCAAGAGGGGTCTGATTTTCTATTTGATGGCTTTGTAACCAAACAAGATTGAAGGCTATGAAATTTATGCTTTGCCTGAGCAATGACAATTTGATAGTGAGTAATTTACATTAAATTTCATACTTATTGGACGGGTGGTGAATAAATTACAAAAGAGGGGATGCCTGGAAAAAATACACCCATTTCTCACACTAGAAAATCCTGGATTTTTTTTAATATTGTTGTATATAATTAAGGGCTTACAACTTGTGTACCATTAAAATATGGATTAACTACAATTTTTATGCTGTACTAATTGGTATAATGGTATAAATTGGTATAAATTTTGGGTGTAAGTCACTCGAAACTTCATGACATGCAGTAAAGGATACCTGAGCAGAGAGGATTAATAGATACAAGTATGAAATAGGATCAAAACGGCTCAAATCTCTTTACAAAACATTGAAATATTTTTTATGCAACATTGTTATTTGCTGGGCCTGTTTTGAAGCTTTTTTTTCCTTCCATTAAAGGAAGTCTACTGTTTCTATATGACAGGTTATTGATCTTTTAGATGTTTTTAAAACTTGTATGGTTTTTATACTTACCACAAGTGTTTAAAAATATTGATAATGTTAGAAAGTGGGGAAAATCTATTAATATAAGAAAATGTTTCAAATTCAGTCACTGGAGTGATGCAGTTAAAATAAACAAAAAATTGATGTTTATGTAGACAAATGAAATTGTGCAATAAATACTAAAAATGTTAATACTGTAATTATAAAAGTAAAGGTCAAAGCAGTAAAAAGAAAATATACTAAACAAACTCAAACTGTCTATACACACTCCAACTTAAGGCCATACATATTTGTTACACACAATCAATTTGCTTTTACGTTTGTTCATGAGTGATAAGTGTCAAAAAATTTGCAATTTCCCTAGGTGCTTCAGGTAACTGGGGTGGAGATTTTGGGGGTGGATATGGTGGTGGACCAATGAAAGGTGCCAACTATATGCAAAGAGGATCTGGCCCTTATGGAGGTATGTTTGAGGGATATTTTTCATTAGATGCTACTGGATACTTTCGTTGAATTCATGATTCGGACATGTTTTTTTATGTTATTGTGTGGATTTTATTTAATGTAGATTTGTTAATGTTTGAGGGATTAAATTTTTAGAAAATATTTTACCAACCAAATTTAATTCATTAAAATTATGGTAACAGGTGGTTATGGAAGAGGAACACGTGGAAATTTCTGAAGGTTTTGAGTACAGGAAAACAGCAATGTTCTAATGTTGGGGTAAGGTTGTGGATTTGCTCAATTCAAGGGGATACTAAATGTACTTACAGAAAAAAAATTTTCTTTGCGTTTTTTTTTTTTTTTCTTATGGCCATTTTGATAACATTAAATTGACTGAAACTTGCCGATTCTCACTTTACTAGTGAAGCATTAAGAATTTTCAGTAGAATATGCTCTAGGTTAATTCACTACATAAAATTCTGAAATGCTCTCATTATCCTGATGTTAACTTAAAACTAAAAAAAAAAACTAATATTGAAAAAAGTAAGTACTTCATGAATTTATTAGGTTTAGTTTGACATTGTTCCCCTCCCTTTAGGAGCAGGAGGATTTAATATGGAATTAGTCTAAGCTTTTTGTTTTATTACATTTTGATTTTAGGGATGTATTAGCAGGTTCCAGATGAGTGGTAATCATGACTTTATGACCATCATTCAGTTTTTGAGATATTTTGTTAGAAACCGGAAGATTCAGTATCATCAACTACACCAAGTAAATGTACATGGAAGAGAATGTTACCTGTTGTACAGTTTTAACGAATGTATGTCATCTTAGAGAACTAGTTAAAATATGAAATTTCTTTTACATTTACAATTTTTATCATCTATAAATGTGTAATTTTATTTTTTTGTTATGTAAAGAAAAGATATGAACAGCATTGACTAATAATTTTTTACTGCCAGTTTTAACTTGTTATCTCAGCGACATCATGTTTATCTCTCTTGTCTGACCATGTTCTTTTATGTTTGAGTTGTTGACTCATTGTAGAATATATTTTTGATTTCTTACATTTCATGATAACATGGGTGTTGTGTGTCAAGCACTGTATTGCATTTCACTTGTTTCAAGTTTCAATGTGTTTTCTGTTTTGTAATAAACAATAAAATCTTGGGAAACATGAGCCTCATTTTGTTTAAAGAACATTGCATTGTTACAGTTATTTGACTTTAAGGATTTTGTTTGTATTCAATCCCAGTGGAAGGTGGTCAAGATATCAAATCTTTTACTTTTAAAATTCTGAATAAAGAACATGTCACCACAACCACCACTATCTTTTGTAATAAATGCTCTTAATACTACTTCACAATGTCTCAACTAAATATCAATTTTATGAAAACGTGCGTTTTTTCTGCTTGAAAGTGAAGTACATGTTTGACAGCCCATGTGGTAATTATTAAATTGTGGTTCCCCAAAGGAATATTTCTATACTGGATAACTTTCAAGATGTGCTAATTTACAGTAACTTTATCAAAATTAATTTTATTTGATTGTACTGATATGACAATTAATATTAAAACGTTTAATTTTTACATAAAGTCAAGAGGGCTGGAATAAAAAAAAAAATTAATTCATACATTGCTGTACTTCAAGAGGATATGTGGCTCATATTAATGTTAATTCAAATATTTTTTTGTTTCAAGATTTCATCAGTGACTCAGTAGTGTAAGTGATACAGACTGCTTACAGCCTAATGGTTAGCATGTTGGACTGAATTTGAGAGTTCTGATTCAAATATCATTGACACACTTTGGATCATGGGTGCATTATAATAGTGATGGTGGGTGTTGTTGATTACTTGCGTCCTATAGGCTTAAAATAAGTGAAACAACTACAGTTAGCCCCAGGCTGGTTGCCTTTGTATAGATTTGTATCTGAAACAAACCAATGCATGTACTTTAAATTTGTGCTAAATGCTTTCAGAATATATTTCTACTTTTAAAATTATTACATTACTTTCAAAAAATCCTTGGATTTGAAGAGAAAATTATTTTGTAAAGAAAATGGTTATATTGTAACAATTAATGGGGTGTCATATTTTTGAAGGATTGTACATAGTTTGTTCAAAGATGTGAGTAAGTTTAACTTGTATATATTTGCATTAAATTCTGTATTGACCTTGGCAATCTTCCTTAAAAAAAAAACATTGAAAATGTTGTATATTCAACTTGTTATTTTGGTTATCTTGGGTACATTTACTTTCATAAGTCCATGGACTTCAGCCAATTTGAAGACATTGGTTGACCTGCATTTTTGACTACCTTTTCTCATGATTGATAAGCTTTTCAGAGATTTTTTTTTGACAGCTTTTGCTAGTAATTTCCCAGCTCTTTTCTTTTACCTGAACATAATCCAGAAATATATTCTTACTCTGACAGTGAGTAATAAATCAGTTTTTGTGCTTTATCAATTAGCCGAAACAAATCCGAGTCAACCAGACCATATACAGTATTCCACTTCCTGGAGATCTATGCATCATTTCCTCAACATTCTTAAAATGTTTATGAGATGTGCACTGTCATTATTAGGAATCCAACTGTATTTGTCAACCAAAAACTTACTAGATAAAGAGTTCTGTTTTTTATTTAATGGAGAAATTTTTTACTAAATTTTATCTTGGATCATGGTGTTTTTGTAATACAATATCTGTAGTGATCTACTCAAGGCTAACATATTCTCATAAATTCATTGGTACTTTTGTGTAAAATGACTACAGATTGAAACTGGAGAAATTAACTGTGTAGTTTCAAAGCATAACCAGTTTCATGTGACCAAAAACTGTTTACAGAGAAAGCAATGAACTGAATAATGGTGATAATAAAAACAAACGAGCCACATAACAATCAGCCTGGCAATAAATAATAATGGGTTGCATAAGAATCCATGATGTAGAATGATTAACTAATACAAAAGTTAAAGCTTGACTTGAGGTGGTTACAGAGATGAATATTGCTGGCTGTATAGTCATGACTAAAGTGGTGAGGGTAGTTAACTATGGATAATTAGAAACCCACTATGATTGTCATATCCATAGAAAGTCACAGTAAAAGATTGCTCAAATTGAGCTCTACAGATTCTTAATATTTTATCCATACTTTTTTTTTTTAATATTGTTACTCTCAACTTTGCACAAAGAATTACACAAATAAGCTGGTGGACTTAGTAATTAATTAGTCATAATTATACATACTGCTCAGGTCAGTGTATTACCTGTAAAGCTACTCACTTGGTTTATTTTTTTCCAAAATGGAAATCTTCCAACTAACAATGTTTCATGTATCATCACACATTTCTTCTGGTATACTGCCAAAGTTACAAAATTTTAAATGCATGTACAAATTTTAACTTTTCATTGGTCCATCAAATAATCTGATAATAGTACAATAAGAGTAATAAAACTACAAACATTAATTCATACCTAAGAAACATTTTATTTCAAATAAAATACACGTGATCATTTTTTTTTCATATTTAATCTCTCAAGAGAACTGGCAGCCATGCTGAAAAGATGTTGTAACATGTCTTGTCACTACGATAAGTGCCCAAAATCAGGTCCCACTAGAATGACAGAAAAAAATTGAACTTAAATACATTGAACAAACAGAAAAATCAAGCTTTAGTTTTTTCTAGTGAAATCCTAATGAAAAAAAAGTTCAAGGTTTTCTGTAAATGTTTGATAAATGGAGTTAAGAGTTCACCTTATGTACTTCAGAAAATTTAGCTTTTGTCATCTAGATATTTGCATGCAATTAAGAGAAGAAATAAACTTAATTAATCTTTAAAATTCTGTTCTCATCTGTTTGTGTATTGAAAAGAAACTTCAAAATACTTTTAACACTACTATTTGACAATATACATTTTGTTGATAGAAGAATGAGCTTTTATAAGATCCTATCAATGCTGTGAGAAAAAAATTTGTACTTGTAAACCAGGAAAAATGCTTACACAATGATGTTATTAATTGGAATATGGATGAGCTTCACAAAGAATCCAATAAATCCCATGATTCCAAATCCTATGGCTGTAGCTATTGCTATCTTCTGGAACTCTAATAATAAAAATTAGTATGTATGGTTGTATCCAATGGTGTTATATTAAATAATATACATCATAAATATTATATAAATTTGATTAGTCTGTGGTGAATCTAGGAACCACTGTCAAGTCAGTGTAGAACATTAATTATTTTAGTAATAAATCATTAAAATTTACTTCATAAAAAAAATGTTATTTAGTTTCCTTATTCACTTGTGAAAGTAATATCTTATTGTAGAATGACTAAGGTCTAATATCAGTTTCTTTTAAATACTCTAGAAGTACAAATAGGTTAAATATACAAGTTACAGAAGTTTTTGATAAACATTGATGTAATGTAACAATTCTTACTTTTATTGTAAACATGTAACATTCTGTAAACTAACCAGTTTATGGCACAACTATGAATTAAACTTCACTGCTTCCTATAAAAATATCCAGAAATGTTTAAAATAGCAAATAAAAAAAATATTTAGAACCATAATTCATTACCCTAAAACCTACACATTTTTTTAACAGTGACAAGCATTAACACATACATAGAGCACGTAAGAAGGTGTAATTTAAAATTACTGATTAAAATGTTTACAAAAATATTTTGCACTATTTGCTACTACATGAATTTCTATGCTTGATATAAAAATGGGTACTTTTACACCCTGCTTGTATATACTAGCATTCCCAACTTTCAGTTTAAAGGCATATTTGGGGTATAACCTTGATGCACTGTCTGGATAAATACCCGAACTTTTGAACACCACAGTAAAAAAAGAAATGTGAGCAAAAGTTAATTTTAAAATAGCCTCACAACAACAGCAATTTAAATATATGAGATATTCAGATACTCTGATATCCACCAGGTTGTCAGAGTATCTGTTAATACCAGACTGTTATGCAAAAACAATAATAAAATTGAACACCGATAGCAAATGGAAACAAAACTACATCCACCACTTTTTTAAGTTATTAAACTGGCTGGATTTTATTCTGCTTTACTACTGTCTGGCTGCCAAGATTAGGTGAAAAAAATCCCACGCTTGTACTGGAGCAAGCAGTAGTGCATACTCCATTAGGTTACATACATCAGTCAATAGTTTACATACAGTTCTAAATTACACCAAGCCTGTTTATACAGGATTCTTTATCACCTGTTTGGATAGACTGCTTTCCAAAAAGTTCATATGGAAAACATACAAATTGCAGTAAGTAACCTCTATCCATGTAAAAGGATTAGAGTAGTTACAACATCCAATCAATACAGATGTGATTAATTACATACAAACTGAGAAACATTACCTTATTAAACATATATTCTCTACCAGTTATAGATGGGTGAAACTAGTAGCTATTTCAGCTATAACAACTACACAAAGTATACATGTCACTCCCTAACATTTGGGCTAAAATGTATGTTAGACTGAAGATTTTTCCACATTCTTCTTGTTTTACTGATTACAGATTTCCAATACAAGTTCTTGTACTGCAATATTCTATCAGATAAACATTTGTCTTTCATCATCCAGCCCAACTAAAGTACTGGTATTCAACGAAAGATTTCTTGGGTAGTGACTTGTGGCAGAAAAAAATAGAACTGAAACTATTTTTACATGCCTTTGATTTGAAATGTGTAATGACCAAATCAAGGGGAGTGTGTGAAAAGAACATAAATACAGCCTAATGTGATTTTTATCTTGAATATTCAGACAATTTTTTTGCCAACTATTGGTTTTACACACATAACTTTATATATAACTCCCTTTTTATACATTATATACAGTTTAATTGTCTCCACTATTGCTCCTGTCAGTTGGTTGTTGGAATTGGCTGGATTTTTGTTTTCTAAAACTTAAAATTTTACTTAATAACTATTAGTTTTATGGTTTGATTTGGATATGGTGCAAGACTACGTAGTATCAGCAATAGATGTCCCATGGACCCAAAAATGCCCAACATGATTTCATGAAAATGGAATGCAAACAATGGACCCCAAAATTTACAATATGGCATGCTAGCCACTAAGCCATGTTCAGCTAATAATTTTATTAGGTTTTCTCTATGTTATTTATATATATGCTTTGAGTTTTTAAT